GATGCCTATTCGTATTCTCGCCTACGCGTCTAACGAACGCAGTTAGGATGACACAAGGGATAAATCCTGCCGAAAGCTGTCAATTTTGCTATGGTGCGAAAAGTCCAAATGTAGTCATACTAGCAGGTAACTTCAAAGCCCAGGTAGGGAAACTCAGTCAACAGGAAAGGTATCTGGGAAGTATTCATGGTACCTCATGCCAATCAGCCGATAACGGCGGTTGACTCTTATAGTTATTCTTGTAATTACTTGTTTCTGTTCAGCAATAACTTTGAAAGGAAAGAAACACTCACTTGGCGTCCATCAACATCGAATCAACCATGGACATAGATTACATTGCCATAGAACATAGTTGATGAGGATCACTTGAAGGAATGTTGTCTCTGAGGTGCCTGTTAGAATCATACCAGTGTATGACTGTACCTTACTGGTCTCAGAAAGCAGTGATATCTGCATGTGCTCGACTGGAAGATGCTCAGAAAGATAGCTAAACATTTGACTTAACGTGATAACCCTCATCCTGGTAGTGCTTAGCGTGATATTTCATTTGCTGTAGAAACAGCGGTAAAGATAGTTGATAACTTACATCCAAAGGCCAGTGGATTTCGGAAATCTTATCCAAAATGCCGATACAAGAAAACTCATCTTGATTGGGTCTGTAGACAATGAGAAGCTAAGGGAGCTTAGATGTAAATAGACGAAGAGTCCTAATAATGGTAGCGAGCAGTGGTGGATGGCAGAAGCGAAAGAGATGGATGTATTAGTATTAGACAATACTCAGCAATTATTTAGACTTAAGGTACGAAGACGATGACTAGTGAGATCAACACCGAAAAGGATGAGTTCTGTCCTTTCACGACAGTAGGCTGGATGGAACATTATGAAGAGCAGTTCAACTGGCCCATAGCCACGTTTCAGTTGGTGAGCATCAGGCCCAAATCTAAGTGGGACATAAATGTCGACCCTTTGACTCTCCTCGAAGTTGGGAAGGTTATGTTTAACCTGAATTGATCCAAAACAGTAGGACTTGAAGGCATGTCACCAGATTTTAAGGATAGAGGTAGGAAATGAGTAAATGGCAAGGTTGCATATGAAAATCAGAGGTAGTCCCATCAAAGTGGCATACTTCACCAATTATCTTAGTTTATAAGGAGAAACCTTTTTGTGAAAACCACAGGGGAATCAGTTTGACTAACATCATATCAGAAATACTAGGGTCTACTGTCATACGACGCTTAACTGAACCTACAGGGCAGCAAGCTTGAGAAAATCAGGCAGATTTTAGACCAAGACGAGAATGCATCGATCAGATCTTCACCCTCTGACAGGTTATGGAACACAAGTATACTTATCGGGGACCGACAAGTCATATTTTTTGACCTGAAGGCGGTATTCGATTCTGCGAACAATAAAGTTTGTCTAAGATATAACCCAGTAAGCAATCATGTTTCCCTATGTGATAAACCTAATAAATCAGCTAAAATGGAAATCAGTAATATTCAGGGTTGGCACCCGAAGTAGACAACAGCCAACAGGAAGATGGTATATGAGAGGATCTGGGTGTTGCAATTAGTAAATAAACCACTTCCCCGCTGCATTAGAGCATTCAGTAAATGACTTTCAAACTTGACAACCTCTACGTCCAGGGTGAAAATATTCCAAATGAGGTCTTTTGGTCCATCCTCCTAACAAGAGATTATAGGAAGATACGTTGGAATTCAAGGTGTCACGAATAAAACATTACACAAACTAAGTAGGGCAACCGAGAATTTTCTTCGTTGTGCAAATATTGCAAGTAATTCTCCTCAACTAATACCTCGACTAAATGAATGGACTATTCAATTTGAATGAAATATTGTTGTTGTGAATGAAGTTCAGGAGAAGCAGTATGACTAATGGATGGTTTGTAAAGCAATTGCCACCTCTTATGGCCAAAACAGCTTAAAGTCCAACAGTGTGCAATGAACTACCATCTGGATGTTGATCGAATTTCTTTCTTAACACTGTCGAAGAGAGCGAAGCAGATCCATGTTTGTATCCATATTTGGAGCGTTTCATTGGAGTATGGATGACGATAAGACGGAAGACTGTATATGTTAAGATGTCAGTGAAAAACGTCGTAAGAGAATCTAATAGATGCTTAACACTATTAGCGGAGTACAAGGTTGACAAAATCTACATTTCGCAGTTGGATACACATCTGAATGATAGATAATACAGTAACTAAAAAAATCTGATGGAGCATCATACTTATACTCACAAATCACTGATACGCTGACGACTTTCTTCGAGAAACTGCGTGATGTAAGGTCATTTTATTCGTTGAGTCAGTAGGAATTTTGGTAACAACTGGAACAGAAACAAGATTTGATGAATGAAACATGCGCACATCCCACTCAATTTTCAACAAGAGAACAGTTTCAATCGGTGATACAGATAGTAGTTGGTATTGCCTGAAGAGAAATATAACTCCCGTCTGGATGCAGGACATTCTAGCGATGAACAGGTTCAACTCAGGATAAAGTCTGTTGTTGTTAGACATTTATTTTTATCTGGTATCAGTGGTACATAATTCAGTGATGTATCAAAATATTATCTTCATCTTAATCGTTTTACTGAATCTCACTCTTTCATACTATCTTGCTTTCTTTTAATGACTGCTTTCTTCCTGGTGTATTCTCATTTGGTTTGCTGATATAAGATGTGGTAACTTGAACTGCTATGTAGTAATGCCTGTCGTGTGTTGATTTTATGTTTATATATAATCCACTGCCTTCACATAGAAAGGTTGAGATTCATGCAGAAAAAACACAATCACTGGTTCACTTGAGAAATTTTGAGGATGATATGCAGTTGCAATGGTACTTTGGCAGTCACTCGTTAGTGGTTGGGAGTGTAGCTCTGGATGTTTCTAAAACTTCATAAGTTACTATGACAGCAAGACTATTTAAGCTGTAATCTTGACACCATCCATTTCGGCATGTCTTGCAAATTCCTACTGGGAAGATCAGAAGCCGTCAGGTCAGAGACAATACTCCAATTGTGATGTGCAGCTACGACTTATCAATACATCGGATACGACGTTACAGGAAACAAGCTGCGGACATATGGCCATGCCATTATTTATCATACACCACCAATTAACATTACCAACTAGGATATTGTAGTGAAACAAGCCCAAATTTGAGATTGATAGGATCCCTTGGTTTCAAGTGAAGTACCAATGTGCAATATGCAGTAAAAACGTACTGATTTTTTCTCCTAAATAATTGGGAGGTCATATTGAAGTTACTGGTGATGTTTTAGAAAGACAATGAAAGCTCCAAATGGAAATCACGGCTCACAGAACACAATACTAAGATCATCCACGTAAGCTAAAAATATTCATCTCAGTGTGAGTTTTCGGGTCAAACAGGTTTTAAACCATCAATCCTTTTTCCTGTAAAATGCATTGAGATTCTATGCAGGGAGGTAGGAAAAATTACTATACGTAATTGATACAGGAAGGCACCTCTCCGTAAGCAACAAACTTTTGGATTTTTATTTTCACCGAACCAAGTATGGTGCGTTGCTGACTAGGCTACCAACTTATCCTTAGTTGGCTGGGTTTCTGTCAACAGAAATAAATTGTTACACTGAACCCGGTATGTGATTTGACTTAGTTACTAAAAGAAAGCGTTCGAAGTCTACTGTTTCTCTATTCCATAACAAACATACTCAAATTATGACTTAGATCTAAAACTACATCACTTAACTACCTAAACAGTTGGTAGCAATCTAGTATGTAGGACTACATACGGTTACGGAGACGTACTTTTTCACACTATACATTGTATCACTTTACAGGATGAATAACCTATGCGTAACCAAGAACTGCTAGCTAGTTCTAAACTGCACCTCGATGACCTTGAGCTGCATGGATGGTCAGTTATCTTTCGCCATAAATCGTCAACGGGAATAATATTTGTGAAGTTTCTCTTACAAACTCTATTTGGACGGTCAAATGACTCCACTAGACCATACACAACGGACCTACTTGATAAACTGAGACATGAACACGCAAGCAGTTTATAGAAGTCAACTTTGGTTTATGTGACATAAATTTTAATGCTTTATTCATATGCCGCAGACGAACCAAGCTGTTAATTGGCATCAAGCTAACTAGTTACCGTAGTTTTGAATGGTCTCTATTCATTTTACAGGAATGCAAAACATTATTAGGACAGGTAATTACCATAAAAATGAACCCGAATAAAATCACACTTTAGCAATAGGATGACATAATTAAACTTCAATTTATCACTGGTGCAAAATGAAAATGTTACCACAGACACTTGAAGCAGTATGTGATATCGTGGAAGCAGAAATGTAGAACACCTACAACTGATTACATACCTCTGTTCGTTGATATGAACCAAATGCACCTTATAACTGATATCGTCAAATAGGTGACAATGCAGTGTTGAACATATATGGCGAAACGCTTCTGAAGATGTCGAAATATCTGTGCTGACAGTTTAAGTAAATACACCAAAGACGAGCGCAAAAACGATGGAAGATATACCAAAGATAATAACACTGAGAACAGCCAACCCAAGATTTTAGACAGCTTCGTCCAAGTGAACTTTAATGTTGGATGATTTTGGCAAGCGACAACCTGCCAAGTTCAGGTAGGCTGGAAAGATAACTTACAGAATAGCAGCTAACTTTGTACGTCAATATTCGATGCAGTCATTCGTTCATTGACTCAGCTGAGAAAAATAAATAAATTCCCTGGAAGGGAAATGCTCACCAAATGTTTCTCTTTATACAGCAGTATTCAAAAAGTGTAGCTACGTTATACTTAGACTGACGACTGCAGAAATTCACAAGACGAAGAGCGAAACCAAAGGGAACTCCCGAAAACTAGTTGTTTAGATAAAAACTAAATGCATTTAGCTTCACATCATCGAAATACAAGGTTAGGAAACATCGTCCAATTTCCAACAATGGGGAATAATTTAACGTCGACGACGGTCATCTCTGCCAGTCCTTGCACGTGATTCATCGCGTCTACCATTCATATCTCCAATGTAGGGCGGCGAATAAGCTCCGCGTGGTTCTCTAGGCACTCGAGGACGTGAGAAATCTCCATACCCTCCACGGCCACGCATAACAAGGTGACGACTAGCACTTCTACCATCGTAGGAGACTGGAGGGCTTCGACCACGTGGTCTACCTCCTGGTGCGCCTAACGGGCTTCGACTTCTGAAAGAAAGCAAAAATAAGCATCGTAGAAACCAACGTAGCACTTTGAGTAGTTGGCATTATACAATGAAGCATTTAAATTTCAATGAAACACTTTTGTCTCGAGGGATGTAAGCGAAGTTTAAGCGCGTAAGTGTAGACACTTTTAAAGAATACTTCCGCAGTTTATCTGTTCCATTCCTGGATGATAGTGCTTGGTTCACTCGTGGGTGAATGTTAAAGGGAGGTATATTGCTGGACAATGGGCACTTTAAGCTACGGTAAATTAGATTGGAAGCACGGGTCTCCGAAGTATGTCTGAAGAAAGCAACATAAATCCTTGGATTAAAGATAGCACGACCACACAAACGTGAAGATACACAGTATTTTAAAAGTGAAACATGGTGATTCATCCCACGAAGCGGTGGAATATTTATCTCCTTGGTAATACTATTACTCCGCTGTTTATAACCTAACCTCTGCAACTGAGTAATTTCGTTGATGACGACGGACGATTAGATAAATTCAAGTGAACCAGTAGGTAAACGAGGCTACTTGTGGCAGGTGACGCCACATTTAAATGGAAGTAGATACTAGGCGCTGTATGATTACTAGGTTGGAAAGTATTAGCGATTATTACCTTCGTCGTGATACTGGAGAGCGTCCTCGCTGATTCATCGCGAACGGAATTCGTCCAGGAGATAAACGACGACGAGACTGACTTTGGAGACTCCGTATAAAGTCTTCAGACTGGAGGAAGGGCAGTACCGATGGATAACCTGACACACCGTAGGGGAAACCCGCGGCAGCTGCAGCCGCAGCAGCATTAGCAACTTCTGATGTGTGGAAGGATGAAAACTGATCGTAGTCTGAATAACGATGACCGTCGTATGAAGAATTCCTTCCGCTTCGACGAGGACTTCGACGTTTAATAGATCCTCTGCCGCCTGGTCGACCACCACGAAAACCTGAACCGCCAACTGAATCAGAATGAAGAAGCGAGGTTAGTACGTATCGACGAGTTGAAAAATCCATCTCTCGGAAATGATGGTTAAAAGTGCTTACCGCTTTTTTGACGACCACCATGAGCGAATTCCACGCGTATTCTCGACCCACAAACATTGACACCATCAAGCGATCTTACTGCTTTTTCTGCATCTGACGACTTGACATATTCAGCAAATGCGAACCCCGGTGGGTTTCTGGCAACCCACACATCAACTAATTCCCCACACTTAGATAGTTCACGAACTAAGTCATCTTTCAGCACATTTTCCACTAAACCGCCAATATATAACTTGCGACTTTTCTCTGCGGAACTAAAACTCAATGTCCTGCACTTACCTTGATATCCTGAAGACATGATGACAAATAATGGCGCCAACTGACCTTCAGAAGTGAAACCAAGTTCACTGAACAAACTTCTGTGACACTGCCTAAGAAATCATCATATGGACAAATCTTCTTTCACTGAAGTCTCTCTAAAACAGTTTTTGACGTACTATAGTATGTGGTCAAGCTATGACTCCAGTACTACCAGAAAGTATCTTGCCTGTCAACTTAATACATTAAACTTCAAGTTTTAGAAACTGAGAACTATGGTTCATTTAGCTTAACGTCCGTTTCAGTGGAATGCATAGTTTGTATGTGATAGTCTTAGCTTTTGACCAGGGAGGTAAATAAGATGCAACTCTCTTCTTGTAGCGCCGCTATGCATGATGCATAGGAAGAGGGGAACCTTCTTGAAAGTAAGGAATCTGTTTCCCAGGAATCTGATTTTCTCTAGCCCTTTCCTCAAAGCATCAGGAAAAGGGTGTGCAACAGCCCTTTTAGGAGGGAGCTTGCAAAGCTTGCACACTGCAGCTGCAAACGAGCTAGCGTGGATCTTCGTGCATGAAGTGTCATTCTCTACTACTGGCGAATGATTTATAAGTTAGGTTTTTCGTGGAAAGTTTGGAGACTGTCTCTAAGGATGCACAGTATTATAGGTGGTATGATAAAATGTGATAATATGCCCTCTGATCTGTACGTATTGTACAAGCTACGCTTTAACAGCAAACAAGTGACCGAAGAAAAATGTATAACATAGCCCAATACAATTACGAGGATTCGTATAGTTAACACACAATCGTGGTGGTGTCATCCTTTACTTTAAGAACACCTAAGTTGTAAAAGCCATAGAAACGGTTGCACACGAAGGTGGAACGTGTGAAGTGCTGCAAAGCCGACTAAAATGCAAGGGGCGAGGTGTTAACATAATCGAAGTATACCGAAGCCTCGAGCGTGAGGCAACAGACTTCCTCCTGAATAAGCTGACACTCTAAATAGATAACTGCCTATGCTAATTTGTGGGGGACCCTAACGCACCGTCAGTTGACAGGGACAGGCTAATATCATGGGCATAGCCCAATTCGTTTCGTCACAGGTTAGTGGAAGCATCACATTCAACCGCTCATATGCAGGAAATCATGTCAGCAACCAGATGTGACCACCAGCAAACCACAGCGGTTCCATACTCAGTAAACTCACACGCAGATGACGTGTGCATCAACCGGTACCTTGCACCGATTCTAAAGCAAAAACCGATCCTAAAGTCCCCCGATCACCCCATTTGACAGTATTGACACTTATTTGAATGTTTTTACCCTCGTTTTGGATAGTGTACGCTTGATCCTAGCCGATGTAATGTTATTTCGGCATTTAACTGTCTTCTTTGACTTTGCGCTGATTATTTGTCTTTGTATGATTGAGACTTATCACGAATGCTTCACTTTCCTATTGCGTGACGCTGGATTGTTGATGACGCGACGTTGTTTTACTGAGCCCGACATTTTGCCTTGGTTCAACTCATGGTTGTGCTGTGGTTCGACTGCTTATCTTTTGAATAGCTGCTGGAAACATTTATTTGTTTATTTGATTCTGGTAGACAGAGTTTTCGATCCTCCTTTGTTGAGAATATTCTTGCTGATTCTCAGGTACTTAACAATTGTATCTGTTCAACCAATGTTTACTACATGGTACGTGTTTGTGCCCGAGAACGTTTGGACTGTATAGTTACCCATGGGTGTTGTTGAGGTGCCCTTGTAATGTTGATATGACTTACTGCTGCTTTGATAGCACTACCGATTTTGTTGCGACTCTACCACGCATTTACTACAGGTCATGTTTTTGATATTGTTGATCCAATCTTTGACTGCGTATCACTCGTGGAAGTTCGGAAACTATACAGTTGAACTCAGGGACTTGTTAGATTCGCGTTAGTTTGGCACCACCTAGGGTGAGATTCGGGTGGTATGTAAGCACATAGATTCAATGACGGACAAACTTTGCAGACTTATTGACTCTGTTGACCCACATTGACAAAACGGCCTAATTTACCAGGCAAGTTACAGCAACTGGGGCTAAACGAGCTGATCGGGATCACTCGGGTTGTTAGAACATAGGAAATTACTAAGATGAATAATGTGGTGGGTAATTCAGCCACAGCTATCTATGAGATAACGTAACCTCGCAACACATAATTATAGATTAGTACTCCTAGAAACCAATGTAGCTACGCGGTAAGAGAGGCCGGTCTCTGAATCCTTATTCATCCATTCAACTCCCAACCCGTCTAGCGGGAATGACCAAATCCTAACTTCAGAAATATGAAAGGATTCAATGGTAGATAGCCTCCCGCCAACCTGATATGTTCAAGGGTTGTTAGCTGGTGGGCGAGCAAGTCAGTTAAAAAACTAACACGCTTAACTTTTCTCCCACTAGGTCTTCACTGTCACTGACGGGAACACCAGCATTACTGCTATGAGCGCCTCACCGCATTGGCAGTTGCCAGATGCTGAAAGGCTTAAGTTGATGATATTTCGAACGCCAAACTTTAGCCTCAGCACCGTCATACAGAAACCCTATCTCAGATCAGTGTACTCCATGACAGACACTTCTAAATCATAGGCAAACAGTATCCAATCACCTTCGGAGATCGGGTCAAACCGTGGTGCACCTTGTGTGACTCCAACGTCTCGCACCATATAATGACGACAGGTCCGCCGGTGTTAGCAAACCGCAGCGGGTATCCTTCGAGAAACTGCGTGCCGCCAAGGTCGAGTTTAAACACATCCTTGAGGTCGGAATAATCAGACCATCCAACAGCCAGTGGTCTTCACTCTTGCATGTAGTTCCCAAAAACAGTGACGTGGACCACAGGCCTTGTGGTGACTTACGAAGGCTCAACGCCGGAATGATCCTAGACCCTTACTCAGTCCCCCACACACATGACCTGACTGCATTGTTGGAAGGCTTGTATATTTTCAGTAAATTTGATTTGATGCGCACCTATCATCAGACCCCAGCCCATCCTGATGGTGTTCCAAAGACCACAGTCATTACACCATTTGGCCTCCTTGAGTTTCTTCACGCGCCCTTTGATCCATGCAATGCCGCTCAAACTTTCCAACGCTTCGTCCACGACGTCTTATAAGGGCTATGCTTCTCCCGTGCTTATCTTAACGACACTCCGATGGCTAGTTCACAGGAAGATACTCATCGCAGCCGCTTACAACAGGCTTCCGTCAAACTATAGGAGCATTCGACAGCAGGCAGTTTAGCTAGGTGCCAGATTGGGGTTCTTTCACCAACTTTTCTGGGACGTGTAATCGGTGACCACAACATTCGCCCCTTGCCCAAAAACGTACAAATGATTCAAGACTTTCCAGTGCCATCTTGCTTGAAGCCCCCGCTCACATTCTTTGGTGTGGTAAGTTATTACCACCGCTTTTCTGCTTAGTGTGCGCACATTTTAACTGCATTGGCAAACCTCCTCGGAGCCAGGTGCAAAACTGTGAACACGACTCCGAAAGCTTTAGAAGCACTTCGGAAAATCAAGATGGCCATAACGAGCGCCACTATGTCAGTGCATCAGGACGTCAAACCTCCTCTCAGAATATCTGCTAGTGTTTTGAACATGGCTATCGGTGCTGTACTGAGACAGCTTATAGACGACAGATGGAACTCTTTGCCTTCCTCTCCAAGGAACTGTCTGTACGTGAGATGTGATACAGCACCTTCGGTTGCGAATTGCTGGTCATCCACGCGTCCACCAAACACTTTCGCCGTTTCATTGAAGGCGGCGGGTTCACTGTGTTTACGAACCCCCGACGCATGCCCTTTACACCACCGCTGCATTGATTACGTCATTTGTATAATGTTTCACAATTCGCGTGGGATGCCCGTCATATCCCCGGTGTGAATAGCTCTGTGGCCGGTGCTCGGACTCGCACGTACACTGCCACGCTACCTCAAACTGCTTACTTGCGGGAAGTGAAGGAACTTCTGACCTCTGATAAGAGTGTGGGCAACCTCAGCATCACTCATCGTTGAAGATGGAGCGCGTGCCACTTGCGAATAGCGAGGGTTTGATGTCGTACGATATGTCCGCGGGCACCTGAAGACCTGTGGTTCTTCTACCTTCGCGTCAGGTGGTTTTCGAAGCTCTTCGCAACTTTTCTAATCTTTGTTGCCTTGCTAATACCGGCCTCGTTTGCTTAGCCAGGATGCTAATCATAAACCTTTAGTCGTACGACGAACCCTTCAGGGCTATCACCAAGTAACAGAAGCCTTTTCATCTTCGACATATCAGGACAGCAAGGTACAGTAAGTGTTGATCGCTAGAGGACAGCATATGTGTGAGAGGGTTCACTCCCCTATACGTTGACATAAAAAGAAAACTCATTGCCGGTGATCCTGAAAGAGTTTCAATTTTTCTTAAAATTCCAAGGTCTTCTGGTGAAACCGCTGCTAACAGCACCGAACTGTGCCTTCTACGCGTATTGGCAGACCTAAGTGATAGAATGATTTCGTCAATTGGGCTCAGTGCAATTTGTACACCACTGCTACGTTTGGTTTCGCGAACACTTTATCGATGTGATCACACTGTATCCTTACATACATATAGTTCTTAGTTAAAATTCTCTTTACGTCGACAGGTCTGCGGTTACCAACATCGGCTTAGAACTCGGGCCTGTAGCGAGGAACTATCAAGTTAATTTTCTACTCGCTGGGACAAAATTCACTTTCCATTGATGGTGTGAATGCCTTGAGCAAAGAAAGCAGCATGTCATCACCATTATTTTTGACGAATATTGGGTTTAGGCCATCTATCGCCGTACCCGTCGATAACTTCGGGCTTCTTATTGCCTCTGATAATTTTGAGGGTAGAATCAACCTTAGTAGATGAACCTGTAGCAAGTGAGGTAAGACTAGTAGGGTTTAAAGTATTGAGATGCGCGCTTGTATACAGTTTCAGCGCTCCAAGTGCATAGACATAATGTCTCACACCTTGACACTTTTACTCACGTTCTCCTGAACGTC